GTAAAGAAATATAGCAATCAAATGCGATGGATGTTCGTTTGAATCTTGATAAAAATAAGTCAACCTAAGGAAAAATATTGTGAGAGAATCAGGAAAGATTGAACACTGAGTAGATAGTTGTTGATAACAAAGAAGTATATTAAATTTTCACATTATATGGTATTAATTTTTAAGTATATAAACACTCATTTCCTATTGTGTGAGAATGAAATGAATGATAGCTAAGGTTTACGTCAAGCCAACACAGTACAAACAGGAAGGAACGTAAGTAGGACAAGAGATTAAACAATATTGGTCCTGTATTGAGAACTGCCGTTATTGGATCTGGGTGTTGGTTACACAGATGTTGATTATACTATTGTCTCTATATCTGAATAATCTTGAACATGTTCTATAGTTTAAAAAAACACTTCACTGACTTGCCAAAAATTACAATATTGGAGGGGGGGGGTCAATAATAACACACCGAAGCAAAGAACAACAGTATGTTATAATGCATAAAATGAGATTTAACCTACCAATATTTTTAATTGCTCTCTCCCCTAGCATATCAGTTTCAGGAAGGCATTTTTATTAGACCTCAGCCCAAAAGTCTGGCCATCTGAGGGTGATCTCAGAGTCACTGTTCCACTTTCTATTCATATGCTGGTCATATTGATAATTCTGTCAAATTCATCCAGTGATAACAGAGGCTCAGAGAGAAACTAATGTGATTATCTTCCTTTATTTGACATAAAATTAAAAACAGGATAAAATAAACTTTAAAATAATAACATTCTCGTATCACTGTTTTATTGCATCAAATTCTGAGGGTACAGCATCTTAAAGAAATAAGAAACGCTGCATTCTTGTCACCATGTGATGTCTACCTGCACATGGGTCGAAATGATTTCATGATGATACTTGATGCATAAATTATGATTTTCAAAAATTAGAAATAAAGGAGCTTCTAATCTTAAGAACACATCTTTCAGGGCAAAAGCCTCTTTGGTCTGCAACAATTAGAATCATTTCCATATACCAATGCCACTGGGAAAAATAACACAAGGCCTTGAAAGCATTCTAAGTGCAATGACAGAGCACAATTTTTCCTGTCAACAAGTTTTGCTTATGGCATGGGGAGAAAGAAAACAAGACCAGGAATGACTTCAATAGAATAAAAAGAGCATATAACATGAAAGGACAATGGAGATGTAGCTGGTGCAAGAGACCAAACCACATACACTTAGCCATTTGGGCTATGGTGTTTCTAAAGTTTAATTTTGAATACATCAACCTCATATCTCTTTGGTTGTACTAAAATTAGGTTGTGAATGGTATCTTCCAAAGAACCAGGGGAAAAAGAACTAGAATCATCTTGGGATGGATGCATGTCCACTTGTTTTCCTATAAAATCATACCCACACCCTTCAAACAAAACTTTGGAAGTCAAGTCAGAGTACTTTATTCACATTAGCCATAATCATATGAAAGTATTTGGTTGCAATACAAAAATCTAAGTCAGAAATAATTTTCTGATCTACTTTTCATGAATATCCTATCTTATCAGCCCTAAAGACATGTGTAAACTATCAAAATAATTTAAATAACTTGATGTAAAGGCCTCAGGTCCCTTCACTGTTAGAAACCCAGAAGAAGCTCCTGGGCCTCATCTTAGGACCAGTACAGCTCTGTCCACTGCAGCCACTGGAGACAGCAAATGGAAGTTTCTCTCTCTCTCTTCTCTCTCTTTCTCCTCTGTACAAGTGTCCTGCGAGTTAGACTCCCTACTTAACGGTCATTTTATCATTATTTATTTTTAAAGAAAAATGTCTTTGAATCCTCACGCTTTCAGGCAATCAACTGAAGTAACTCATACATGATGTGACTAAAGGAAATGTGCCCGATTCTCTTTAACCAAGAACTATCTCCCCATTCTCTCAGACACGAGAAGATGGTTCTAGAAAGAAAGGGTTCATTTATTTCTATACACCTATTATTTTGTTTCTAAATGGTTGAATGGTTTTTGAGTATATACTTCAAAATCAGGACTTCTCATTTCCAAACTCCAGTGTTCTCATTTCATTTAGAAATGAATCAAGAGGGTGTTATCTGAATTTAACAATATCACCTTCAGCACAATAATTGAAAACAGATGTATTAGTCACTTGGATCAGAAATTATAAAAATGCACCTTCTCATTATCTAAAATAGTTTGTAAGACAACCCAAGGGTAGATGTTTATTTTCTATGTTCCTACATCATTCATATTAAATGTTCTGGTTCTTGTTAAACAAATTATAATTCATGATATCTTACATATGATATTTTGGTGTGAAACTGCTGTACACAAAAGCACTACTTACCTCTACCTTAAATTCTTCAGAACCCATTGCCTTTTTAATTGCATGTAGTTCTGTATTAACAAATCTTTCACCCAACATTGCCTGAGGTTGACAACCAAATCTAAATAAAATTTAAATGAGGTTAAAAATCTAATATGTTAATAATTAACGGTTGGATTTTGATCTCCCATGTTTCTTCTGGAAATTTTGATAGAAACTTAGGCAAATCAAAAGAGGTCTCTTCCTGTGACTGCCAACCACCATATGAAATGCACTAATTTCATGCTGTTTATTTTTTATTGCAATTTGGACCTAGACAAATTAACATTGCATTATTCTTGAGTTATTAGGATAGTCTGACACCTTAGAATTAATTCCTTAGATCTAAGGAGTATATGTGTACATATTTCTCTCTCTCCTAAACCTGGAGGAAGTTGAGTTCCTCTGAGAAAAGCATCGTTGCATGTAGTCAACTCCCTGCTTTAGAGTACCTCCCATGGTTTCGGCCCATTAACCCGAGCACAACAGCTTGATGAATTAATGCTTATATAGGCACAGTTGGCAGCTTCTAATTAAATAATTATGGCTAAGCAGCTGTACGGAAGCTGTTATGCACCCTAGAAAGCCAGCTGTCAGTTTTATTGGCCATAGGACAGAGGAAGAGTTACCATTTAGCCCTGAAAGTAGAGTACAAAGGAGAAGCATGTCATCGACAAGATCTGTGCTGATGGTCTGAAGTCCCTGTACATTTGCGCTAGCCTGTCCTTGGAGACACTGAGCACAAACTGCTCACTGCAAACCTCTCGGCTACCCAAAGAAGGAGGAAGCAATTATAACCTTAGAGCAGAGCCTTTCCAGAGCAATCCAAAGAGGACACACGGTGTTAGACAGATGAGCCTTTGATGAACACAGAAATGCCACGAAGCCGGTAGGCGAATACGTCCTGAATCTCAGTGAGCAAGTGATTAAAGCAGTCCTTTTAGGGGTCCGACTTGTGTGTTTTCATGTGTTTGGCAGCAGCTTCTTAAAACGCTTTGTTTTCAAATTTTAGAAGCCAGATAACATCAGAAATATCATAAACAGATATTTTAACTATCTCTGGATGTTATTTCCTCCAAAAAGTTTGGAGATGATATTTATTCCACAGAGTCACAGATAGTGTCAGATTCCTTTATAGAAGGCTGAAAAACCTCAGTGTCTTATCTCTCTGCTCATGGGAGATTGGCCAGAGGGAAGAAAGCAGTGCCCGCCGATTAAGCTCCAGAATAAAGGAAGATACAGCTTTAGATAGAGTGACTGGACCACATAATGTCTGTTATCACACATTAAGATCCTCTTGCACTGACAGCCGACTTCTTTTTTTTCTCCACAGGCTCTCCTATCTGTGCAATCCATGTGTCTTCACTTCTAAATATGTACACATGATAACCCAGTATAGCAGTTCTACTTCCCACCGACCTCTTCACCAAGGCTCCTGGCACAGTCTCCAAAGGGGGAAAAATGTGCAACGGCGGGGAGGGGGGGAGGTACAGATAAATAATCTAAGAAATTAGCATTTACACTTGTAGACACTTAAGACATTTTTGGCCCAAATTCTGGATTTGTTTAAAAAAAAAAAAAAGATTAGAGAAAATGTTAACACTGGAAACAGGCATATTCCTTGTGGAATTCACCTTACCCAACTCCCAGGCCAGGGGAAAATCAGCAGTTAACTCAAGCACTAAACAGTACAGCTTAACACACTGTTCTTCCTTCAAAGATCAATGGCTTATCATTTGTAGTTCAAAATAATGCCATTTCATACAACAAGGCAATCAGCACCATAAGCCTTCATTAAACAAGGGAGTTGACCTCTTAGAACCCCTTATTTAAAAGGCACCATGGGAAAATTGTTTCTTTCTTCCTCACTCTGGTTTCCTTTTATATATGTAACTCTCCCCTCAGCTGTCTGAAGGTGTTTGCAGGGGGTTGACAATTCTCAAGGATCTACTTCCTTTTGGGTCTTAAATGAAGCTCAGCTTAATTAAGCCTGCAGCTCAACTCCAGTCTCAGTACAAAATGCTAAAGATTCCAATAGCACATCTGTAAAGCCCATAAAAGCAAATTTCAGACCTGGGGGTTTGGGCAGAGAAGAGGAAAGGGGCCTTTCAGCAGTCTGTACTGCCATCTAGCCAAGACTACATCATTCCGTACAATATGCGTCGGTGTTCTGAAAGTCCCTGATGAAAGCATTTCTTAGCAAGAAGCCCAGCAGATTTTTAGTTCAGCTAAAAGAATAGTCACCAGTACTTCCCATGTCTACCAAACTCCCATTGACCAAGAACCAAGTTGCAATCATAAACTTACCCTCATAACTCAGTAAAACTGGCAATAAAAAAAGAAAGAAAAAGCAACCAAACAAAAAGACACAACATGCTTGCTTTCACTCCACATCACTTTCATGTGTCTTTTGTGATGGTGGAGGACTTTGAATATTCTGGGACTAGTGGAAAAATAGAGAAAAAGTGCCTTAAGAAAACCACCACCACTGAATGCTAACCTCTGATAGTCTAGCTGCCACTCAGGAGCTATAACAATCTTGAAGCGTATTTCTCAGATTTCAATAGAACATGCAGGCCATAACATCTCTGAAGAGACTGACACACAGGAAAAATACATGGAACCCTCTGCACTTACGGTAGAAGACATATTCTGTATAACTGGACCAGATCTTGTCATCTGTATACTGGTTGACAAAAGATGCTGTCACCGATGAGTTACAGGCCACCATGTGGAATCCACACTCGGACAACATATCAAAAGCCCTTTCCAGATGCTTGAACTTGAGATAAAACCTGGAGGTGTATCTTTCCGGGGCTCGGTCAGGGTCTCTACTTTCATTCAAAGTTTCTCCGAAGACTTCCTTTGCCAAGGAAATCCTTCCACAAACCAAAATTCGGGGAACTCTCCGGAACTTGGCATCTGCTTGGCCCTCTCTGCCCAGAGTGCAGGATCCTCTGTAACCCACAGTGATGAAGCCCCACTTGCGATCGGAGGGGAGCAGCGAGGAAGGGGGACAGATTCTCGTGTCACTTCCTTGGGAGGCATCTTCAAAATCACTGTGGCAGAACTCCTCTGGGCTTTGCTTGATGTCGTCGGGGGTCAGTAGTTTGACCAAGTCTGGGAGCTGGAAGTATTCTGCTTCCCTTTTCAGTCTCCCCCTTTCTGGGAAGTGATCAGGCAGGACCACCTGCCTGTCCCTGAGATAGTCCAGGATGTAACGGAACAAGAAGCCATCTCTATCAACAAAGAACCTTCCCTTGGAGTCTTTGGCTAGGTCATTCGCCATGTCCCTCTTTGGGGAAAACATTTTCCACAGGAGGGAATGAGGGATACTTATCAGTGTAGAATGGCGAGTGAAATAAACTTGACCCCCAACATTCAGCTCTATGACCTCAGGGAAGGAGTTGGGAACTGATGCTCCTTGTTCTCGGGGGTAAAAACGACTACAGTTTCCACTAAGAGCCATTGTCCCTTTCTTCTCCTTCTCCTATTTTGTTTTAAAGATACAGCCCACTGGAGTCACAGCCTTGTCTTTTGCCTCAACTTGTAGAGGAAGAAGGAAGCTAACTTCTTAAAAGTGATCTCTTCTTCACCCAGACTTTTTTTTTTCCCAGTAAAACAAAATTTAGAAGTGTCTACAGGTGAACTGGTGCTGAAAAAGTAGCTTAAGCTCAGGCTGATGGCAGCTAATACTTCACAGAATAGAATCGACTCATCTGCATCCGATCTTCCATCAAGCTCAGTAGGCAAGGCTGGCAGTGTCCCCAGTTACTCTGAAGTCCTTCCGAAGGAAAAGAGGATACATTATTTCCCCAAACCCAGACTGAGTCAGAAAGAGAGACCTCTGGAGAGGGGAGAGGAAGGGGAAAAAGGGTAGGGAAGGGATGAAAAGACTAAGGGAGAGATTATTTTACATAAGCAGTCCTGGAACTACTGATTTCAGCTGTTCTTCAACTAAATTGCAGCTTCTCTCATGCTATTTTGAGTCTACATGTTTTTAGGCACAATCCTTTGATCCAGCCATTCATATTAAAAACAATCCTATTTGTTTATTATGCATTCAAATCCAACATGCAATTTTCCGACTCTTAATGGGATCATTCGGTCAACTGGACGGGAAATTCCTTACCTTGGTGAGAGCTGAAGACCCAATTCTAGAGAAGAAATAAGCATTGGCAAAGCAATCAGAATCCACAGCGACCACTGACTGAAGCTTGTCAAATCCCAAGCAGGTAAAGGACAGAGGTATCAATGAAAAGTGCCAGAGACACATGTGCTTAGAAAATAATACGTATAAAATATTATTTATACAGATGTGTGTAGTATGTATGCATGTGCTCTCTCTCAAGTTCAAATTAAAACAAGTCACAAAAAAGTTAAACAGGTTAAGTTTAAGAAGCAAAGCAGAAGAAAATATTCGACCGAAGCTTTTCCAGGAAAAAAAAAAACATAAAAATCCCAAACCTTCAGAAAAGATCCTTAAACCAGAGGAGAGTTGCAGGGGGTACCAGGAATTAGAAGGTTTTCAGAAAGCCCAGGAACAGGACAGAGAGGTGTGCCCTGCTGAGGTCCCAGGTAGCCAGCCCACCTGCCGGCAGGGGCGAGCCGACTCCCATGGTCCCGGCCAGGCAGGAGCCGGTGGAGCCGGAGGCCGCCACGCAGCGACGCCGGCGGGGGCTCGGGGCTTCAGCCTCTCCGGCGGCGGAGCTGGGCGGTTCCACAGTTCCCAGTGCAGTTCGGATGCTGTTGTTTCAGCAGTGCAGGCAAGAAACCATCCAGGGAAATGACTATTACATCATCTTAAAGGAATACGGCTTGGAGAAAGCGGAGGCAGCTCCGAGTCACGTCCTCGTCGGTGACAGGTTGCCAGGACCACAAAGGGATGCGGTGCTCGGCGGGGGGCACGCGACTCGGCTCGTCCAGGGCTAGGGGCGGCACGCCGCCACGCTGCCACTTCCCTCTTGTCCCGGGGTGGTGGAGTTCCCAAGGCCCTTTCTCACCACCACCCCGCACTCCCAATCTCCCGCAGCCTGATCACATAAACACACACACGAGTGTGTGTGTGTGTGTGTGTGTGTGTGTGTGTGTGTGTGTGCGCGCGTGTGTGTGTGTTTTAATTTGGAAAATCAACAAACCGTTTTCAACTAAAAAGCAAATGCCCCCGTCTCTAAAGCTTGTCTGTTTATTGGTTGGTTTTAAAGATTACAAGAATGAACCCAGTATTCAAGGGATTTGTCTTAAATCCCTTGATGAGAACCTTCTTCACACAAATCTCCTTCCTTTCTCTTCCCTTCCTCCCTCCACCACGACCACAGTACACAGATGCACGCACAAATCACTCCTGAAATTAAGAATACTTCCCAGCATGCATACGCAAAGCGCTAGCGCCCAAAGGACACCCATAGCCTGCAACGCTAAGTCACCAGCTGGGCTTACCTGTAAGAAATTGCCACCTTCAACCCTTCACTGGGGCTGTTTCCCTACCCAGCGTCTTCTCCTCTGACCTGCTCGCCTCCCCCATGCTGTCCCAGGAGGACTCAGCCCATGGAAGACACGCCTGCTAAGAGACATTTTACTCCTGTCCCAGAGGCCTCCCTTAAGTGCATCATTAGAGTTTCAGGAAGGCATTTCCAGGGCAACCTAATCCACTAACAAAAGTGCTTCTAGTTGAGCCTGCCAGTCAGTAATGGCCCAGCCAAGGCCTTCCAGTAAGTCAGCCATTTCCCCCTCTCAAGGGCCAGTGTCTCTGGGCTCCCGTTTCTGATAAGAATAGCGTACTTCGTCGATGAATAATATATGTAAGGCACACTCCATCCCAAACAGCTGCTATTAAAAAAAGGAAGAAGAAGAAAGAAAAAAACAAAACCCCAAATGGAAGGGAGCTGATGATTTAGACATATTTGATGGAACACATGTGTTTATAGCCTACTCTTGTCCCAAGAATCAGCTTTGAAGAGGTGCTCAGAAGTACAACAGATTTCCACATAACAATCTTTTCTTTAAATAATCATTCGGTTGCTGAACACATTCAGAGTATTAGCTAACATTCCACCACCTGATTCTGTTTGACTTTGTTTCTTTAACTAATGCATTAACCTGTTCTGGCCTCAATCATTAGTATTTTAATGCTGGACCGAGCAAGGCAATGTTTATGTGATGCACTTGTATCGCCATCTAGTGGCACAGGATATCAGTGCAGTTCTCCATCTGGCAACATAGTAAGCGTCCAAATTTGTTTTCTCCTTCATTCTTAAGTCTTCACAGTAATTTGAATTTACTTGACATACAGTGTTCAGCATGACAACAAAATAGATATGTCACTGCCAACAGGTCAAAAAAATCTATAAATCTTATCCATGCTTATTAAGTGCTGTTTTGAGTTGTAAAGTCAACACACACTTTGCTTTACTTTTAACAAAGCAGACTTTCCACCAAGGCAATAACTTTTGGCGCAGGTGTTATAAGATTCTTGGGATAGTTTGTAAGCAAGTGGAGAGAAGGAATGAGGAAAAAAATCATGGTCCTTCACGCTAAAAATGACTTGAGAAATGGCAATCAGTTATGTCAGAGGTGTGGAAAGCTACAGCCAGAGACACACAGCTGCAGAGCATCAGGCCAGCTGTTGGGTATGGTAGTGTCTTGTAGATGACCTTTTTGTACAAGTATTTTAGACTAGGGATGGAAAGGTGACATATAAAGAAAATCATATTTTCTTTAAAGACTTATTATTTATTTCAAAGGCATAATTACAGAGAGGAAGAGACAGGGAAATTCCATGCACTGGTTACTCCCCAAATGGTTACAAAAACCAGAGCTGTATCAATGTGAGGCCAGGAAGTCCAGCTCGGTTTCCCATGTGATTGGCTGCGGCCAAGCACCTGGGCCACCTTCTGCTACCTTCCCAGGTGCTTGAGCAGGACACTGGATCAGAAGTGTAGCAGCTGAGATGCAAACTGATACTCCTGCGGGATGCCAGGGTCATGGGCACTGGCTTAACTCACTGTGCAACACTGCCTGAGAAAATAATAATTTCAAGCTACTACACATGAGAAGAACAGTAAATTAATTGCAAAGTGGACATATTTTTTTATAGTTAAAATAAGAGTGCTCTGACTTCCAAAAAGTTAGTTTTGTTCATTGATCTGGGTTTTATCAGGTGAGGATATTTTGAGACAAGAAATTTTGAACTTGATTTGGAAAACAAACTGTGTGGAGAATCTGTCCAATTTTTTGGAAATTTACCCAAAGTCAAAAAAACACCAGATAAGCAAGTCCTCATGTATGTGAGGACAGAGCCCCTTGGCAAGAGCTGGGCAGGGCAAGGCAGGGCGTGTGTGTGCAGCTGGGGAGGCCGTGGCTGAGTCGCATTTCCATACATCTGCGAAGCTGATTTTTGAGAGGAGACTACATGTACAGAGTCTCATTCTGAAGCCTGAAATTCAAAATATTCACCAGATAAGTTTAACCTTATCACTCCCTGGTTCATCTATAACACCTGGTATGTGTTAAACTTTCAAAAGTACAGTGAATTTCCAACATTTTTATAGTTATCATGTATTGTATTGTTTTGTGCTGTAAGTTTTTACTTATTGAAATACACAGTTAAAAACAAATGAAGGACTACACTATTGTAGTAAAATGGGAAAAATCTGTTGGGAGGGGTGGGTGTTTGAGGGGGAATCCCAGACTATACGAAATTGTACCACATAACTCAAATTTCAAAATAAAAATGTACTTAAAAAAAAAAAAGATTTGAAGCTTGAAGGAAGCAAGGCAACACACCATACCGAGAAATTTGAATAGTGCTAAAGTAAGCCAGGCTGTCTCCGAAAGGCTGTCAGTAAGCCCGGCTCTTCGGTGCCTTGACTAGAGGCAAGAGGCCAAGCCTCAGCTGTAAGTGTATTCCTGTCCTTCGTGTCAGCAGATAACGCTGCGAGTGTTATGACTTTCTGCTGGCAGCTCTCCACCCAAACATTGTGGGATGGCACACTCGGCCCAGAGGCTGAACAACAGACAGCAGGATGTCTCTCTTAAGGGAAGAGCAAGGAAGAAATACTCCAGCCCATTCTTTATGATCGGCAAGCACACAGAACAAGATGTATATTGCATAAGCATGATAAAATGTAACTGATAAAATAAATTTGATAAATTTCACTTGAGAAACAGTGACATTGATAAAAGGTGTTTACCTCTCTATTTCCTGTTTCTTATTTTCCCAAATCCCCATAGCTGAATGGTGAGGGTTAGGTTTTCCAAAAGGACAATCTCAGTTTTGGAATACTCTGATCGCTTCCCACATCCTCACTCCCTTTGCACTCTTAACTTTCCTCTCCCCGCAGACAGAAATAACTTCTCTGCTGTCCTTGCTCCTGGGAAGTGCGTTGATGTCGTAAGCCTACTCAGACCAAAGTGCTGTGCACTCATTCTGATCCGTACCCCAATGACCCCTGAATTATCATCCTCATCACAACAGCTACTGTTAATGGGGTCCTACTACCAAATCCTCACCAGGTTTTACCCATCTTGTAGCTCTGCCCGACTTAACCGTGGGATTTTGAGCTGGGGATTCCTTGTCTCCGGGTCAGGGTAAAATGATAATAAAGGTTTTCCTCCAAGAGCACCATACTGAAAATATTTCAGGATAGATTTTGTGGCTCTTCCTGGGTGCTTAATGAACACATTCCATAGTCAGGATAGTTAGGAAAGTAGTTGTATTCATTATTGTAAATTTCAGTTGAGACATAAGGGATCACAAAAGGCATCCTAAGATTTAAA